GAATGCCTATGCAAGCCTCAATGCACACACACAGTGTGCAAACCCCGTCGGTTTGGCTACAAAGTGAGGAGGGGCAATATCAGATTTCCTGTCCTGGGGACAGATGAGAATATGCAGCCTGCAAGGAGGAAACCTTTGTCAGCTCTGCTCTGTAGTGTCTAGACATATTACAAAACCTAAGGAGATGCTCAGCATAGAGAAGTTTTTATTTCCTTCCCTGAGGTAACTGATGTAAGATACGAGCCCTTCAGCTTTTCAGTTAACAATCCCACTCAGTTACTAACTATTCATCTAAATACTGAGTAGCATCAGGAGACTCCTGGGCTTCATAAACTTCAAGTTACTTTAATATTTTCACAAAATGAAAAGATAGAGGACTTAAAACTGATTAAATGGCATTTCCTCCTTCGGTGTATAATTAACCTGTGGAAGTCATTGTCCCAACTAGCACTGATCCCAGGGTCTTAGAAAGCTTTAAAAATTGATTAGAAATTTAAATGGTAATGAGATCATCTTTGCTACATAACACAGAAAAAAATTAATATGGAATGGATCTCAACTCCTGTGTTTTAGACATAAGCCAACCATTAAATTGGAAGAAATTCATGTATGTGTACATTTTCTATAATCATCCACAAGGGTTTTGCTGCATCTTTCTGATTTAAGTATGCCAGCACTGAGACTCACGGGCTGCTGTACAATTTGGACTACTGGGCATAGTCAGATAAGACAGTTCATACCAGCCTTTTTGTGTAAAGTTTTAATGATGCATTTAATACATTTTTCTTTGATTGAGCTGAGTTTGGACAAATCTTTGGTTTATTTTTAAAATAAAAAAAAAAGTTATATCACACTTTCCTTTTCCCCGTAACAAGGGAAATTTTCTTTCCATTCTAGTTTCCTTCCAGTTCAATATTGCCTGTGCCACAAGCTTTTGCCCAGAATCTGGAGCTACCATTACCCATTATAGTTGTGCAACATCTATATCTTGGTAGACAGAGAAAACCAGCTATAAGACAGGCAAAATACCTACAGAGGAATTATGGATGCCAGGACAGATTTTGTAGCACAGCTTTTGCTGTCTAGCAAGCAGACATCTACATGTAAGCTTGTCATCAAGGACTTCCTTAAGATACAGTAGGGAGAAAGACGTACTCGTGGGAATACTTGTGGATGGGCACAGCCATACTGTGAGATCATCCAGTTTGCCCCACCTGACTTTGGAAAATCCTAAACAACGCAGCTTGGATGGAAACCTGCCTGCAGCTGGGCACAAAACCTTGGACAAATCATGTCCTTTCTTAACTCGACCAATAAAGAAGACAAACTTCATTATTTCAGACTGATTCTCAAAAGGTACAATACTAGGAGCTAGCTACAGGAGTACAACAGCTTGGTGGTAGTATGACAAGACCTCAGCTTTTAGAAATGTCACTGCTGAGAATATAGTATGTTAAATCTCAGCCTCCAAAAGTAGCTCTTATAACAACATAGGTAAATGCATGGAAAAAGCTTTTGTGGGTCAAAACCAAAGTATTTAAAAGCATGAAAGTAATTATTTCCCTGAAGTAACCACACAAAGGACACATACAGCAAACAATGGAAGATTTCTAGCGAAGAGTAATTAAAAAGGGAGGGACTGAGACATCTTTTTAAGGAACTCTGCCTGTTCCCTTCTCTAACATGGCCAATCACTAGTTAAAGGTTAGGACTCTCTTTATCATTTCAATGTAAAGTTTAACCACTAACTTCATTATTCACATCTACATTTACACAGTTGCAGTACTCCAAGACCCCAGTCAGAATCAGGATCTCCCTTATGTATTGCTAACCACATGCACAAGAAAACACAGTCCTACCTTAAGATGCTCAAATCTAAAACAACACAGGGCAGCGAAAGGAAAACAAAACCATGCAAGGAAAATGAACAGTTCTCATGTCAGTAATACAGCAGAATGATTCACATCTAAGCACAAGTGCTAGTTGTTTGCTTATCCTTTCAATTAAATGCCCGTCAAAGAAATCTCCTACGGTGATAAAAATCAATGCAAAATGCATTACTCCTAGCAAAGTAGAGGAAGAGTTTAATGAAACAACATTTGCACTCATATTGCTGCATTCTGCCCTCTGTTAGACCCACACAAACTCACTGGAGTTGATGAATTTGCACAGGTCTAATTGCAGGCAGGATGATTTGTCCCACTCTAGCTTTATAAAGACATCCCTAAACTCATCAGAATGCATTACCATATTCTGTAGTTTGCTGGTTGCAATATTTGTCATGGATAATAAAATAAATGATCCATGCCAAATCTGCCTTTCTATTAGTAAACTCCCACTGACTCAGGCTGCCTCTTTTCACTGTTTAACAGCAAGAGTCATGAACACAGGCTATATGACTCATGTGGTCAGTTGACCTCAGTGAACTAAAAGGCAACTGTTCATAGGGAGGGAGAGACAGTTGCATGAATGAAGACTTGACGCCTCAGGCCTTCAGTCATCAATGCCGACATAAAGTTCTTTCTTCTACCCTTCATCCTTCTAGTATCTGTTGAAGGCATCAGGGATAATTAACCTGGCTTACCCTTTTCCAATAAGGACCTTTTGGTATAAATCACCAGCTCTCTTCTGGTATGTCCAGAGACGAAGTTGTCTCACTCAATATCTAAAACTCCTACTTCACCAATCTCACCCTTCAGTGTGATGCTACAACTCTACCTTTTATCTATATATGAGTAGTTAAAACCCAGTGTCTGTGAAAAAAAAGAAAAACTGAGGGTAATCTATACCTTTCAATAACTGTCTGCAGCTACCCGTACTGATTCTAGCGCGTAGAGGTCAACTTTCAGGTGTAGCATCTGTCACAGGAGAACAGCTGGATGTAGACACACTATAGACTACATCTTTGGCACTTGACAAATAATATTGATTTCCAACAATTCCTCTGATCTTAAAAACAGGAATAGAGTTTTTCAGACTGGTTGGTTTGGTCCAGTGATTTTTCCAGTGAGCCTGCCACCATCCAGTGTCAGCATCTGGGCTTTAGACCATCTATATCACACCACAGCTGCCCAAACCATCTAATCTTCTCTCTTTCATCTAGCAATTAGTACAGTTTTCACTCCTTAGAATAACCTTTATTAAACAACATTTGCTGTCAGTATTCGCTTATTAACTCAGACTGTAACCTAATCAACGACATTCATTCCCAACTAGAAGAGGCTGTAAAGAAAAAAGCTAAGCATACGTCTTGCCTTGCTATTGCCTGATAACGACTCCTGTTTTATGATACATTTAGATACGCAGTTTGCTATGACTTGTTGAACTTCAATGCACTGAACTCATTTTAGATTGTTAAGCAGACAGAGGATATAATATTTTCTCTCTGCTGACCATTAATTAAGAAACAGGATGGCATAGCAAAGTTTAAAAAAAAAAAAAACAGGCTGTCTACAGGATGGCCTGTAATTAGAAATTGTCTGAATCAGTCTGATTTCCAGTGGTGCTCAGTGTCCCACAGTTCCCAATGACATCAGTGCTGATTCTCAACAACTCCTAATGCAGGCTACTTCTTTCAAAAGCTAAAAGGGCTTTTCAGTAACATAGGAATCTAACTTTAGGTGACACTGGCAAAGACCTTGGACCCATGTACTCAGTCTGCAAATTGAAGAACTGGTCGTGGAACATGATTATCCCTCTAACACTGATCACAGCTGAATAGTTTCTTTGCTCACCAAAGACTGAAGCAGCGTCTTCCTCAGTTTGACTCCAGCACCCAATAACTTAACTAGCTTGGCAGTGAAGGGGCAGTTCTGACCCAACATGGCCCTCTCTGAGAACAATTTCATTAATGATCACTTTCCAAAACACTGAGAAGTCCAGTGCTGGCGCTCACACCCGCAGATGCAATGCAATAAGCAAGTGCTATCAGCACACTGCCACCTTTAAATATAGGTGATCTCTGTACTTGCCTTTGTGGTTTTGACTTTATTTCCACTGCTGCAAGACCAACCTGAATAGTCTGGTAGTACTTTACAGTCCTCTCCATCCAAACAGGGATTCATGTGACACCACCACTTCTGTAGGACAATGGAAGCTAGCAAAAGAAATAGGAAAGAGAAAGAGAGTACAGTCTTTTTTTTAATACTGTTCGTTTTAGTAGGGATGTTGTCTTTGTGCTGTTCAATTGTTTGATTACAAAAGGTAGAAACCAACAGTTACTGTTTTAATAGCTTAACATAATGTTTCAGTTTGAGTTAAAAATGAGGCTAACTTCACCAGCACAGAAGGGTAATTGCCATATGCAAATGGTGAAGACAGGCAAGCATCGCCAGAGACTGATTTGACTCCATCATTTGAATTGACCTCTGGAAGTGCCTTTCCATCCCCACTGACTGCAAAGATGACTTGCCTCCTTCATTTACATGCTTCCGTCAAGTACCTGCTGTAAGGTAGAATGAAACTAAGGTTTCTTATTTAACCCGGATATGCATATGCAAGACTGGATGAAGAAATGCCAGTTTCTCCCTTCACTGGGTGAGAAAATAGAATTGCACAGAGATGTAAGCATGTGAGGTTTGCCAGCAAATGGTGCCGATAAGGATGTGGAAACCACTGGAAAATGTTAGTTTATTAACTAAAAATCTACTTGCAGTTACACTACCAGTTTTGCAGTATATTTTGGAGGGCTACAGTAGTACACCTTAACTGTGCAAATTTATTAATTTTCTATCGTTAAGCCAATTTCCATTGATAAGACCATGCTTGTTATTTTTACAAGCGTAGTCATGACTTTACAATACTGCTATTAACAACAGATATATTTTCCCACATACTGCCGAAAAAATTTACATGCATTTCTCAGTTTTGCATTGTTCCTGGGATTCATCAAATCACAAAAAATTATTATTAAATATATCAGATCACAAACTTACATAATCTAAATTGGATTTTGAAATAAAATACAGATGAAATGTTGATTTAGTTAGTCTGCATTATTCTACTAGCTGCACAAAATATTGAATTGCATGCTTTAAAAGATACCACATCCAAACGAGATGAACAAAAATAATTTAGTCTGCTTCTTGTAAAGCACTTTTCTCCTTTTAATTTCAAGGTGGATTCATACGTCTGCAACCTTCAAATTAGGGTGACAAGCAGGCAAGCTGACATCAGGATATTGCTGAAATGTTCATTCAATTACTTTTGTTTTGCACATTCACTGTAAATCTACGTGAAAAGCACTATGAAAAATATACTTCTGGAACACCAGTTTGGCTTTTATGAACTATTCCTTCAATATCATAAAATTATGAAATAAATGCATTATTCCTCTCAGGAGTAATTTGGATCTTAGATCATTTGTATTGATGCTGATTGATTGTTGACAAACCAGATGAAACTTCATTGTGCTTCCTAGGAGGTGACGGATCATTTCCACTCCAGACATACAGCCCAGTCATCTATTTTATATCTCTGCCGCTTTCTAAATTTGTTTCTATTTCTATACCACATTTATTTAAGGTAAATATGAGCAACTCTAGAAGGACAGATTCAAGAAGACTGAGGGCATGTGCATAGGTCCCTAAGCAAGCAGAAATCCTGGTAACAAGCTAGCTGTGTCTTCAAAGCCAGCGAGTCCTCCTGGGAGGCCTGGCTACTGCATTACACAGCTCTGCACAGTGCTGTTGTGAGTGTGGATGAGATGACATGCAGAGACTTCACCTGTGCTATGACATGTGAACATGCTTTCATATAGTTAGTGTTACGCTAAAAAAATAAGTTCAACGTCAGACCTTGAAAACCACCTCACTCACCAGTTTCCTGCAGGTACCTAGAATGCCTTGTGCCTCAGTTACTCTAATAACTCCTTAGATCCAATCTTTTTCATATTGGTTTGGGTGCAATATGTTGTCAGACCATAGAAAATGCACCAAATGTGGCAGTTTTTATATATCTATACAACCTGCATCAACCTCGTCCTAACACCAGATTAGAGAAAAAAAAAAAAAATGGTATTAGTTGATTGGCCAAAAGTGCAGCACAGAAATAGGTTAACACAGCATTCTTGACCAGTTGTGCCCATGCAACTTCCTGGCCCATGCGGAACTAAGATAGTGAGACTGGCCCATCATCTCCAGCAGTACCATCTTCCATTAAAACAAACACAGATGTGAATGGGAAACATGGATGAGTCAATCTGTAATTCAAACAAGCTCCACAAGCTCTTCAACAGACTGCATATTTCACCTTCTATTCATCTCTTGTTTGGAGACTTCCATAGAAAGTGACTCCTACCCTTCTGTTGACTGATTTCTATTCTGTGCAAATACCTCTCCTCAGAGTAATGGCAACACTTTGAAATACTTAATACAGATCTCATTCCATTAGTTTCCAGCAAATTCCCAAATCTTTGCTGTAGAAATCCACTAATTCTTACATCCATTTTATGTCCAATTTCTTTGTAGTTGTAATGTCCACTCTGCTGATCTATATGTCCTAACTGGCTGTAGCTGTTTTTGTCAAACACACCCCTGAGATTACTCCATTAAAATTCTCCATCAGAGACTTAGGCTCGTCTTCATAGCTAGAGTTCTTTAACTATTACTATCCCTGTAACTGTGCAACTCACTGGAGGATATAAAGGCTTCCTCTTCTTTTCAGATTGAGGCACTCTTGGAAGGATTTCAACAGATGACTTTCCTAAGAAATGAGAGCAGCTATGTCACTCTCATACATAATCACTCTCATGAAGGGAAAGGAGACTGCTTTAGTTTGACACTAGCCAGCTGATTTGCTGGAAATCAGCCAGAAATAAATCTGCTAACATCGCTCCCTAGATAACATGACTCCATGGAAACTGTAGGTTCATAGAGAGTAAAGCCAAAAGGTGTCAATATATCATCTCATCTTGCCTCACACAATTCAGTGTGTTGTGCCCCGATTTGTGTTTGGCTACACAGTGTTTTCCAAGCCAATCTGGGACAGGTGAAGAAAGAAACTTTTCCCATTGTCATTTTTTCTAACAGTTAAACAATCTCAGCATGAACCACACAGCCCTAGTTTTCTTTCTCTTCCCACCTCTTCTGTTGTGCTTTCTTCTCCTACATTACAACACCTGTTAACAATCATAATTTTCCCCCTGTGAAGGCACTGAACGTGCCACAAACCAGTAACTTTTCAATCTTCTGCCTGATAAGCCGAGCTGATTGAACTTCTTCAGTTTCACATCACAATACATTTGCCTTTATTAACGCAGTTCTTTCAAATAGGTTCAACTTCCTGTGAGTAGGACTATGCCATGCGAACGCGTTGGGCTTGTCATTAATTACTCCTTTGCCCTACTGGATGAAATCCGGACATGATTTTGTCAGGAGAGATTCTATATTTGCTTTCGGGTCACTGCTGAAAATGTTGTGTGTCAGGTGTAGAGCTAAGAACTGTGAAATCCTGGTAGGTATGTGCCATTTGACTACCACTTCCTACTGATGAGTCTATGGAGAGATGTGTTTTTGAGGTATGCTAGATAACTGACACTGAGCAAGCGCACACAATGGCATATGGCTCAAAATTAAATAGCTTACAAAAAACTGAGACTTAAATCCTCAAATGTATTTAGTAACCAAATCCTTAGTTGAATAACTTATCTTCCAAGGTAACTTGGAAAACCTGGGCTTACATGTATCAAACCCAGAAACTCTCTGTATAGTTTTGAAAACTCCTCTGGAAAGGGAATCAGTAGTGTCTGGCAAATCTCTTTTCAGAAAGCCACATAAACTCTTGTGATCTGTACTCCAGGAATTCCTTGCTAATTGATATCACATCAGCTTGTTAGGACTCTAAACTACACAGAATCAGAACTAAAAAACAAAACAAAACAAAAAATTTTATGCCAGTAGATGTTGGTTAGCACCTTCTGTAGTTAAAAATAAGTTAGAAAGTACCTCCTCATCCTGTTAACTTAACAAAAGGAAAATTGTGATACTGACCTGCCTCAGCATTAAGAATGTCAATATTTCATGCATTATGGGACAATTTTATTTTAAGGATTACTGTATGTTCTATTTGAACAAGAAAATTCATACTGTCTTTAGTCTGGACAAATGCAGGTGTCTTTCCTGCTCTGCTGGATTTAGCTCTCTTCCATATAAATTTTCAGTATGCTACTCATTCTACTGTATATTTCCTCTTTTTCTTTGAATACTGACATCCTTTTGAATTCTCAAGTATCCCGAAATCCATTCAAAAACAGTGGGAGGGAAATCTTCCCAGCTGTTTCTTCTTTTATCTATTCCTTGTGTATTGATTTTTTGTCATCTTGTTTCCATATGCTCTCTTCCTTTCAGTCTGGAACCCAGATGGGCTTTCAGCCACACTTGTCCTTTTCCTTCATTGTGGTTCTTTGGCCCTACAGAAAATTCTTAAACAATTGTTTAGTCCCATTCACATTTTTTTCCAATCTGAGTGTTTCCTCCTCATAAATTCTAGTACTAATAGAATTGCCTGCATGGAAGATGATTTGGCCAGTGATGATTTACTTAGATAAATGTGTTAAATGCCTCTAAGATAGCTACTCTACAGACAACAGTTATTAATGTTTTATCTTCTTGGCAGTAGCTGCTAGACAAGCTGGAGGTGCTTACTCAAGGATGTTTACTTCCATAAAGAAAATGGGTATAAACAAAATCTCATGACTACCTTAAATGTAATTTAAGTCATTGACGGAAGAACAGGTTGACCTTTGCCAAGCAAAATTTTCTATAGCTGCAATCACAGTATAGCTACAACTCAAGGCAAGGTAGACAGGCTGCATGGTATGTCCTCTCTGCATATTTAAAAACTTCTTTCATATGCTCCGCTTTTTTCTGAGTTCAGTGGCTCAATTTATCTACAGCAACATTTCTCAAAGTATCAGATGGGCCTGTACTTGGAAGCTCAAATAACACCCAGGAAAATGAGGTGTGCACATGTACAGAAAAACTAACCTTGTTTTCTTTGTTTGCCAATGCTTGTCAATAGCTTTCACAACACAAATGACAGAGTTTCTTGTTGGATGTATCCAACATGCAATTATCTAAGTAAGTGTTTTATCATGGGCAAAGGATAAAAGATATCCTGACCCAAGGAGTTCTTGCCCTGTACTCTCATCTAGGCTATGAAGAGTGATTTTACTGTGCTTGTAAAAATGCTAGGAAGATCTCAGTCTATAACAAACATTGATTTTCACCTTCATATCCTTCTTTTTAAATGAAGTACTTTGACTTCTCCTACTACCAATATTTAAAGTTTCTGAGATGAAACACTGTAGAAATGCAAAGCACTCCATAAAAGTCAGTTAGGCCCCACAACACAGTAAGGATTACTGCATAACATGGAAAACAACTGATTTGTAGGCATCAAGGCACTTAAGTCTTTCACTTTATGTATTTGCAAGATTTAATTAGCTTTTACTTTCCTTTCTGCACCACTTCAACACCTTTTCCTTGAAACTCACCTGGATATCTATCATTTTGTCTGTAACACAAGTACTTAGTTTCCTCCTTAGCACATACCATGTCAAAAAAATAATCATTTCTAGGTGTAGGTCTATGCCTGACTTGGCTCAAATAGGGGGCCTTCCTGAAATTTGGTAGCTGTGAATATTGGTACATGTATTCACTAACTTCTTGAGCAGGGCTTTGCCTTAACATATAGTGCTGCTCCCATAGACTGCTGATTAAATCTGACCTTGTGTAAAATTCTTTAGCATCTGTCAACTTATTTCAAAATGTAAATATCCAGCTGGCCTATGACTGTATCCTAAAAAACATGATGATGGGCTTTACAAGCCTGTTTCATGGCCTATGTATACCAAAGGGCACAACGCCCAATACACACCAACAAGGAGCTCTGTTTGATGCAGTAGGCTCTACCCCCACCCAAATTAACAAACAAGCTGTCACTGAAACCCAGTGGTATCCAGGTCAGGAAACCCATATGTTGCAAGACTGAAAAAACTACGGAAAAATACCCAACTAAATTAAAAATCTGTAAAATACTAAAACCAGATGCAAAGATTTCAAATGAAGAAGGCTTATTTTCATTTGGTTACAATTTATTGGGAGGAGGGGAAATCCAAACAAATACTAAAACCAGATGCAAAGATTTCAAATGAAGAAGGCTTATTTTCATTTGGTTACAATTTATTGGGGGGGGAATCCAAACAGGTTATAGCAGAAAGTTGCTCAAACGTCAAGTTCAAGTCCAGAACAGAACGGTAAGTACAATTTGTCTAGACTTTGCTAAAGTCCCAGACCTTTGCAGTCTTCCATACTCTGTGAGAATCTGTTTCTTGCAGTAGTCTTTATTTCTCATGGAGCACCTACAATCTATGACTAGTAATATGCTTGCCTGGCCTAAAGGAAAGCTAGTATCAACTCATTGTTTCCCAGGTTGTTAAGACTGAAAAAGAAATCAGACCCTCATTTAAAAATAGCAAGAAAAAGCAGACTTCTGTAAAATCATCATGCAGATCTCAAAATGAATTGTAATTATTTAATTACATAACCATCCATTTGCTTGGTCAAGAAAGGAAAACATCATTACATTCCAATAGCTTTATAAAGGCTGCTGCTCTGCACAGAACACAAAATACGATCCCATTTACTCAGCTACAATGATCTTTTTGCTGCTGCCCAAGAACAGTTGAAACATGCAAACCCAGAAAAGTTCACCGGCTATGTCAACATAAGAGAGACTGATCTCATCCTATTTATTATTGTTTCCTAGCATGACTCACACAGAGCTGTCTTCCTTTTGAGTGTGTGTAAAGATGCTAAAATCCAAACAGAACATAAATCCTATTTATTATTGTTTCCTAGCATGACTCGCACAGAGCTGTTTTCCTTTTGAGTGTGTGTAAAGCTGCTAAAATCCAAACAGAACATACTTAACCGTATCTACAATAAAAACTACTAAGCACTAAGCCACTTTTACCAAGAATTCCAATAGGTAAAAGCATCTCTCTGTGTATGACTAAAAACTGTGCAGTCTGACACAACAGGTGGGTGGTACTTTCTGGACATATACTTATGAACGTGAATTACATTGTTTTCTTATTTTGTCCAAACACAGTTTAGCACATATATAATTTGAGGGTGGTCAGTGACTGGAACAGGCTCCCCAGGGAAGTGGTCATGGCATCAAGTCTGTCAGCATTCAAAGAAGGTCTGGACGATGCTCTCAGTCATATGATTAAGTTTTAGATAGCCCTGTGAGAAGCAGAGAGTTGGATTCGATGATCCTTACGGGTCCCTTCCAACTTCAAATATTCTATGATTTGCAGTAGGAACTACAGGTACCAAATATCATGTGCATATCATGCATGATCAACAGCACAGAGACTATTGTTGACCTAATTTACATGATAACTACTCCTGGATAAGGCCTGAAGTTCAAAAAAAAAAAACCAAAACATTAAAAGACTACTACAAGCCAATTGCTCTATAAAATATAAAAGTAACTTTGTGCTTTGGGCATGTCCTTCCCTTTAAGCTCAGAGAAAAACATAGGCAAATTAAACAGCCCTGCATTCAGTAAAAAAAGTGCTGGAAAATAAAATTAAATGCCTGTATTAGACTGAAATAGGCATAAACTGTTTCTCGATTCAACAGTGTAAAAGCCTGCTGAAGGATATGCGTAGAGTGGGAGAAAACACATCTAATCCTGAGGCTAAGGAGAGTTCGTTTCCAAGCTACAGCAACTGAATAACACTGACTGTAGCCCCAGATGCTTGCAAAAATAAGCGAAGCATGTTAAAGCATTACCGTAAGGGGTGAGGGGGAATCAAAGGCTTCCACTTTAGAAACCAAAATCTTACATTCATAATATTTTTCCGTATTTAATTTCAATTATATTTGAAGAAAAAAACAGCTGCTAAATCATTTCAGCAACTGTTTGCATCCACAAACTGAATTAAGCTTCTATGGTATCATACATTTATACCTTTCTATCATGGAAAGACAGTGTCACCTTTGCAATCCATAAACGAGTTTAAAACAATGCCTGTCTTTTACTATCTATTGTATGCAAAATTATTTCTACTGTTTGACATATCATCTAAAAATACAGAAGGTACTTCTGATTTGACAAGAAAGCAATTTAACTTCAAATGAGTTATACTGCTAAAAGCATAAGAATGGCAATACTAAGCTCTGTGAGGATTTCAACATCTACCCAGGAAGGTGATGGACTAAGGCAACTATACCACATTTTCCCTTCATCAGGTAGGTGTCTTAGCTCAGACACTGTGTCCTGTGCAGCAGTATGCTTGCTCTGCTCTCTAAATGCTACTGTATTTGGGGTTACAATACAAAAAACTGAATAGACATGAGGCATCATTATAGCATTCGTGTCCAGCATAAGAAACCACTAGGCACATGAAACCGTGAAACATTCATCTAGAGAACAGTTCTCAAAATCAGATGTCCCAGCACCATCTGCTTGCCCAGTCTTAGGGTTGTATTTATAATCCAGTGAATTTTCAGTTAAGCTACTAAGTCTAAAAACAACTAGAAGGGTTATCATAAGCCTGAATTTTTTGGCTTATGCTGTTTTCAGACTAGTTTTAAAGGAGAAATCTTGTGTGACAAAATTAAGCAAGTTTTATTGGCACAGACATGAAATGGACGAGTACATATATTAAGAGGATTAATTACACCCAGATTTATGCACAGACTCATTATCATCAATGCACAGAGATGTTTCCAAAATTAACAAAAGGAAGGATTAGCTTTTGAGGCAGTGGGAAGTCAAACAATCAAGGAGACTAAACTTCTCAAACAATCTTAATGAACCATGAGCGAGCAGGAGACTGCTTACCTTCCACACACGAGGGCTGAGCCCTTGTCGTACCAGCCACCTGCCCTGGGAAGCAGGAACACTTGACTGTTTGCGATCGTTCTTCAATCCGGTTCTTATTGCAGCAACGATGCACTGCCACAACTTCACATGTCCCTTGCTTGACTTGGTGCTGGCCTAATAATTGCAGAGATAAATGATGGAGAGGAAAACAAAACATCAGTGCACATAGAAAAAGCAAGTTCCTACAGTGCTACAGGATACTGAATCTCTCAAACATCAGTTTAAATCCCAGGAAGACGAAGGAGCAAAGCACTTTGTAGGACCTGGTTTATTCCCTGAGTTTATCCTATTCTTACTAATAAAGATTAGATCATCATAACAAATCAATTTTTCAATCTTTCTTCCCTGGCCCTTACAAAGCCATAGGAAGAAAAGTAGATTGGAGTAGTCAATTAGATGGATTGGACAAGAAGACATACAGAGACAGAGCACACTCCTCCTTCCTTTGGCTTACTGTTTTGCTTTAGGTTTTATATTTAATTCTTCCCTTTCATAAATGGACACAATGGACAGGACAGTGTTTAACACAAGGGAGACTTATCTTAGATAGTAGGGAGACTTTCTAACATAATAACATGTAAGCATTGCTTGCTGTGCCTATCATTGCAGGTAGGCTAAGAACAAGGTAGGCTGAAAAGCTGTCATAAATAGTCAAGTTTTGTAACAAAACCAAAAATAATGCAAAAAAAAAAAGCCAAACTATATTGATTGCTCGAGTTCCCTTACGGACCGTTTTAAAGAAATCTGTGATAAAAATTCTTTAAATATTTTAAAGAAATCTGTGATAAATAGGAAAGCACCCTATTGCTTTCCTCCCAAGTGCCTTTCCTCACAATTCACTGTCCCCTATTTCTCTTTTATTTTCCCTTCCTCTCCTGTCCTTGCATCTGCCTTCACATCTTAGCTCCACTGCCGCTTGCACCTGACCATTTTTCTGCACTGCCAAACTTACTCTCTGTACTGCCTAAAAATCTTTCTCAGAAATCACACTTCACAAAACCCCTCTCCTCTTTTCATAAGTCATTTCCATGTCCTCACTTTCCTGAACAGCCTTCAAGTGCTTCATCTTGCATTTGTCTCAGCTTATTTAGAGTAGAGCCTTGGATGACTCTTATCTATGTTTGTAAAGCACCTTGTAAATTAACAGTGCTACAGAACAGGGTGGGTTTTTTTCATAAGTGAGCTAGACAGAGAGACAACACTGAGAATAACAAAAATATTCACCATCAAAGCAGTACAGGCTCCTTATGTGAGAAGATACAACGGTACAGATATTGGTGTAGGTGTGTGTAATATCAATGGTACAGCAGACTAAAGAAAGGAAGGTGAAGGGGAGAGCACTCTTCAGAAACAAACAATCCTCCAAGTGGCAAGCCTGGAGGATTGTTCTGTTTCCTTCTTACTCCATGCGTGCCCTGTTTTGGTGTTTGGTTTGGGGGTTTTTTTGGAGGGGAGGAGGGCATGTTTCGGTTTTTGGTTTGTTTGTTTGTTTGTTTGTTTTTACAGTATCTGTTACTAACTAATACCAGACACAGGATTTTGAGATAGAGAACACCTTGGTCTGATGCAATATGGCCAGGCTTACATCCTTATAGACAAAGTATTACTGAGTGATTAAGATCATTGTATTTTTTGGGCAGAAATTTTTATGAGTTGATTAAGTGAGAAAACTTAACTTTTAAAAGAGTTAGCAACACAATTTAGGCTTCTAAGGGAGTTTTCAAAAAAAGGAGAGTATTCAAATACATATAACTTTTTAAAAGATTGGCTTGGCAATGTTCCTTTGCTGTGTGTGTTTTGGTTTCACAAGTATTTCAAGAACAGCTAAAGCGCTGCCTGACTTTTGTGGCCAAATTTGTATTCACAACAACCTCAATGGACAAGAAACTATGTATATGCAATCCTCGAAAGGAACTTTAGTCTTACTATTTGTGCACTCAACATGCAAAAAGAAATTATATATACAGGGATGTTTTTTTCTGAGGAAAAAGCTACACTGTGCTTTTAAACAAAACATGCTACAGCAGGAAAATGCATAGTGTGTTTTGCAGAAAGTTGGAAAAATGTTGAAGAGAGCGTATAAGTATCTTACATAGCTACTGTGATAAGTTTATTGGCAGATTGTGAATTTTCACGCAAGTACCTAATACCCATATCATAATAACATGAAAAAAATGAAAACAGCTAACAGCTTGTAGGACAGTGGCTTCTCTCAAATCAATATGGAAAATAAATACACAAATAGAGAAATTAAATTGGCCGTGCCACTTCATTCCAAAGTATTGTTCTACAAAACACTCCTCATGACAATGTTTGGAGATATTAAGCAGACAGCCAGGAGTTCTGACAGAAAAGATTTTATAAAATGAGATTAATTTTATAAATTAATTTAAGAGAGTATATTTTTGTTTATTTATTAGGTCTATAGCCTGAGTCAAAACCTTTGGAGTAAACAGGGAAATTATCCATTGGTTTCTTACAGTGCTTACAATGGTGGTCCTGCATTCACTTGAGTCAACAACAAAATTTCTGTTGACTTCAGGAGAGCAAGGTCACAGTCTAGACTGTCTGTTGAGAAGGAGATTTTATAAGGGAGGGGAAAAAAAGCAAAAATTAGAAATTGCTCAGGCCACATGCTTGAGTTTGCCATGTATCTCATCTGAAAGACCAAGCGGCCAGATCTTTTTAATTTAAGTCTTTATTCACCAGACATCAGATGCCAAGAGAAGAGTAGAAGCCATTTTTTCAGAAGGTACATCATAAAGATGGACTGGACCCAGCTCCAACGATCAATATGTAGCTGAAAGAATGTCTATTTTCAAGCTCAAATCCTGCTTCCTTTAGGTGAACAGTCCTGTTAAGTCAATACCAAAATAAATCAAACAGGTTGGCCCTGAGCATACAGACCAAAAAACCTGAAGCTCACTTTCAATTCTCTTGTTTGAATTTTAAAACAGTGACAGTGCTGAAGGAGTCAACAGGCCCACAGATGTTTACAGAAGTCAAAATTAAGTTACCTCATGAATGCATCCTTTGGTTTAGTAGCTGTTTTACTGTACACTTATTGATGCTTCACAGCTACATAAGCAGGTAAGAGAAAGTGTCCCCTCTGCATCTGCAGACAGGGGTAGGATGCTAAGGTTTGAAAGTACATGCAAAGGAAGACAATGCTCTCTTCCCCTGTCCCTAGTGTGCAGCTCTTGTGGAATATAACTGTGAAAGGTGCTAAAAAGCCAAAGACATCTGCATGCATCATTTGCATTAATTGGATTGCCCTTGTAATAGTCTTTCCCCTCCTACATATTCACATCTATATTTCCTCCTGCTTGTTCAGGCACATCTTAACACTTTTTATTCTACTGAACACCATACACATTTCTTCTTAATACTCAGACACATCTGTGAACAGGTGCTGAACAAATGCTAAGTGATAGCATGCTAGCTTTCTGTCCCATTTTTGTCAGTGTTCAGCGATCTAGAGGACAAGCACTCAGTTTGCAGAATGGCTTTCAGATTTAAGAAAACTCACAGAGTATCTTCAGAACTAACCATCAACTCAGCCTATTCTCTACCTAGATTGTATCTACATTCATGTACACAAAGGCAGGAAAAAGAAAGAATATAAAAATACTCTCTTGCACATTCTAATCTCCATCTTGCACTAGATAAACCTTCATCTCAGGTTTAAAGTATATTTAAGGTACAGCTGAGAGCATAATGACAGAAAAAAAAAATCAGGAACAGCCTTAAAATATTTTATAGTCAATGGATTCTCAAGAAGCCAAGGCATTAGAGGAGCAGGGACTGAAGAATTTTTAAAGTGTGAAGATCACAGTAAGTGAATTCTACTCCAGACACACCAAGAAAGCCATTTCAGGGAGAACCGCAATGAGAGATAGGGAGAAAGCCAGGCTCTGGAGAGCAAAGTCCCTTTGGGCTCACTTATAAAAAGCCCATAAATTTATAGCTCTTCACCTGTAAACCTATTCAGATCTGCAACCTAAGGGCTCTCAATATTTGTAGTTGAAATTCAGTTACATCTTCACAGTTAAATAAGAAAACTCTCCAAGCAAAGATACATTTTATCAGCAACAGTACCAGCAAAAGGTTCCTGCCATAGAACACCTTCCGCATACCAAAGAGAGGATGTCTGCCAGCCAGGCACTGTGGAGGGCAGAGGATGAATGTTGAAAACTATGGGGCTCTGGGTTACCTCTGATCAGGACTTTAGCACATGTGTTGCTCTCCATATCCCAATTTCTTTGCAGCTTAACTTCCCTAGAAATGCCAACGGTAGTCAAGTTCACTAAGGACACTTTCCCTATCTCTCCATACAGGGTACAGACGTAACAGGATAGGGCTTGCTAATGGAAGCAACCTCCAGGACACTGCCTGCTATGAATTGTGCTGCCTTTCGTAATGAGATACCTACAGATAATAACAGCCTTCAGGTGCCCACATCCAGAATGCTTCCTAATGACCTTATGGACTGGCCACACAAAGGCTCTGTGACCATTTCTTTGTTATCTGTGGGCTTTCCAGTCCAGAAGATGATGGACTGTGTAGAGCTGCTAGGCAGCCTTCATAGCTTTCTGAGAAGGCAGTCATCATCTCTGAAGAACAAGAAAGTACAAACAAGGAAGTTATTAGGCTTGCACATTACAAGCCCACACAAGCGTTGTGAGTACAGTTGACTGAATAATCACCACTGAACTGTTTATTCTCAGTTTAATACATTTTTTTCAACTAACTTATTTGACAAGACCTTATTTTCAATTTCTTTATAGAAGTCAGGGGGCAGATATGCAATTAATGCTTCTAAAACTCTTTGAAATCCTCAAATGAAAAGAGGGAAATATAATTATTGTTAATAAAATATCAAACATCACAGTGATGTACTTCAAAACTACAAGGAAAATATCAAAGAAAGAGGAAGGCTTCCAGAAGGTTGCTAGCCAATTCTGTCCATATCCATTTCATCTTTATGACTAATTTTGATCACTCCCAAAGAGTACTCTTTCAATCCAATATACATACAGGCACCATGCCCTTAGAAATCCTGAATAACCTCCTCTTTTTCTAATTTCTTGGCTATGAAACATATGGAAAAGACA